TCCCTACATCTTCTGTGTTTTGCCATTTACAGCTGTTGTAACTTATTACTTGCATGTATATATATATAAAAAATAAATAAAATACACCCAACAAAAACCAAACAAAACCATACAGAAAAGTATCAGGGAATAAAACTATGCTTGTTTATTTCAACAGAATGCTGAAATTTCAGTATTTGAAGTGAACATCCGTTTCGTTGGTGGACTACTTTCAGCTTATTATCTTTCAGGAGAAGAGGTAAGATAGTTCCACAGAGTCTGAAATATTATCATCTGGGTAAGTATTTAACTTTTAGTTTAATGATTTCGTTTATCAGAATTGAACTTGTTTAGAACTTTAAAAATGGTTTGTACAGCAGAGACCCGTGCAATGGATTTTCTTGCTTTTACTAGTGTTGCTTTGTGTTAAGTCTTGAAGTGTTAAAGCTGAAACCATACCTAGTACGTTCTTCCTGGGCTTCATGTTGGAGTGTGTAATTATGGAGTTCCTATGCCATGGTAGTGGTAGATTTGGTGTATCAGGTACCTGCTTCACAGATTGTTTTGGACCATATTCTTTAACTCCTTCTTTTGGCCTTCCTGAAGCTGAAAGTTCAACTCATGTGGAAAAGACGTGTTCAGAATGAAAGGATAATTTGTAAACCTATACGTGTGAATGTCTTTAAAGCATTAATATCCCATTAATCTCTGTTGCCTGTCATGGTTTCTGGAGAGGATGAAGAAACAATTTCATCTAAGAGCTTTGACTAATGCAATTATTTCTGTGATATGTTTAGAGAAAGCTATTCTAAGTCCCAGGTACTGTGATATTTTAAATTTTTAGCTTGGCACTTGAAAAGACTTTAATCTTACTGGTTTAAATTCTTGTTCCTGTCTCTGGATTATAGTAGTGTTTTATTGTAGGATTAACACAAGTTAATACTCTTGAACCATAAGTTGAATTTATCACTGAATTTCTTTAAATGCAAAGCAATTACTGGTGAAAACTCCACAAAACCCTGAAGATGTATAATTTTCTTTCATATGTAAATTTCCCAAATACTGGGTAAAGCTCTGTTTTGAACCTGTCATTTTAAATTAACTTAAATTCTATGGTGCGTGTTGGGTTTTGTTGAAATTTATCATTATGTTAAAGCTGACTTAGCAGGTACTATTGGGTCATGTACGTGACAAAGCAGTTATAAGGAGACAATGTTCCTCTGACATTTTTGTGTCTTAAGTAGACTTACCTATTTATTTCCCACAGTCCTGTCCTGAGTGTAGGTTGTATTGGAAAGGCATTAATGCTCAAAAATGTACAGTTTTTCCTATTTTAACTGTCTTATAATTTTCTGGGGAAAAAAATTGCACTTAGACCCATTTCAAATTCACGCTTAATAGTAATGAAAATAATTGAGAGATGCTTAGTAGCTGGCTTCTTCGTCTTTACTAAATATTGTTTTACCTAATGTTTCATCTCTGACTCTTGAAGGAAGTCGCTTGTCCTCCTACGGTAACTCAGCAACCAGAAATAAACATATGTAAGGATGTCTAGAATTGAAGGCTCTTCATTATGTGATTAAATAGTTGTATCTTTCAGTGCAGATCTACTTCTCTCAAACAGGAGTGAACTTTTCCAGTATAACCTATTGCTACATTTTAATTAACCGGTTCTGACAGAAGCAGAGGATGCTTCTTGCCAGACAATGAGTTAGTAGAGGACTGCACATGAGCCTTTACATCAAGCGGCGGTTGTCTGCCAAGAAATGCCTGAATCATTTGTCATCAGTGCTGTTGATTTCATATATATGTTGATGGTTTATATCTTGTGTCTGTTATTGAAAGTAAGACTGCACATTCAGAGTATATAGTTTCTCCTAAATATCACCTAGTCATTACTTCTTAACCTTCACCTTTAGAGAGGCAGTTTTACCACCACCTCTTGGACTAGATTGATAGCAACACTGGTGTTCAAATAAACCTCTTTTGTACAAATGAAATGAGGAAGCATTTAAAACAAAATAAAGTGTTTCACACAATGGGTAATTAAGTGGAACTCTTTGCAGTGGAATATTGGTGATACTGGATACTAATGTCCATTCTAGAAATACTAGAAATAATTTCATTAATGAAAGTAAAATGAGCTCCTAAACACAAAGATGATTTGTATGATTAAGGAGGGTCCTGAGCTCTCGTAGGCTAAGACAGACACTGTCCATGCTTGCTGCTGTTTTTCATACTCTGGTAGACATCTGGTGTCCGAGACAGAATGATATTCCTAAACTAACAGTTGTCCTCGTGGCTTAGAGAGGGCAACTCGGCATGCTCTGCCTATATCAGATTGGGGGAAACCTCCCGATCTGTCCCCTAAAGCAAGGCACTGAAGCAATAGCCAGCCGCTGCCCACGGGAGGAGTGGGATGCAGCCATTCTGAGGACAGAGCAGCCGTGCAGCAGTGTGAGGTTTCCCACGTTGCGTGGGTCTGTCCTTCTCTGGTGCTGCTGACAGGTGTGGAAAGGACCGAGATCCCCAGGGGCTGGCTGCCTCCATAGAAAATATATCTTTCATCATCCATCCTTTAGTCCATTATATTAGTGGGCATTCCTAAGGAGTTGGAACAACCTGTATGCAGGCTGTTTGGAGGATTAAGCTTTCTCAGTTAAAAGCTCATTTTATTCTTTATCAGATTAACTATTTAAAAATCTTATATTTGCTGTAATCACTTATCAGTACCCTAATTAAAGCAAGCTATGTTTCAGTAAAAGGAGTGACGGAAATAATTATTGTTTGTACTTCAGAATTACATTTCCATGGGTAATGATCCAAAGCTGCAACATATTGTATGTTCCATAATCATTTGTAAGTCTAACTAATCATGATTAAAGAATATCCTATCATACTGAGTAGTTCCTAAAACATCCTGTTCACATAATAGTTCATTTAGATAAAGGCACCAATGTGAATAATTTTAAAAATGAACAAATTGAATACTTTGCCTCTTGATAACTGTGTGCAAATAGAGCTATGAGATGCATTGTATTAAACTTCCTAGAATTTCTGCCTTACTAGAGTTAATATAAAATACCTAAAAGTGCTAGAACAGTCATACACTTTGTCACTTTTTTTTTTTATTTTGATTGCTGTTTAAACCCAAGCTAGAAAGAATCCCAGCCAAATATCAAACTTAATTTGTAAATTAAATTTAATAAAAAAATAAAGCTACAAATACCAGAGAATTTTATTTCAAGGTAAGTAATATTTTAAGGACTGCTTTTTTTTTTCTTTGAAGCCCCTCATAGTAATATTATATGTGAATGCTTCCCTGGTATTTTTCCATGAGTCAGTGGCTATAAGGGATTATTAAAAATAAAACGGACTCCTTTAAAGCAGTGCTAGTATTTTTTTGTTTGTTTGTTTATTTGTATGAAAGCATCTGGAGGAGCCTGTAATATGCTAAGTTTAAACCACAGGAACAGGACAGATTTATTTGCAAGCTTTCTTGATTGTTTTGTTTAAATTAAACCTGAATTCATTAGTAGACGGGATGCCTCTTCTAAGCAATTTGGTATGTGATGTTTTTGGATTTGTGCTGGAAAATAAGATGTCTAGTAAGGGAGAGATTTGTTTTACAAACGCTTTGTGGTACTTACTAGTCTGATGTAAAATTCTGGTATACCAGAGTCAGGAGTATGGCATGCAACAAGATCTCCTATTCTGCAGACCGAGATTTTTTTTTTTTTAACTCTTGCTTAAAGTGCACTTCCAAATGTAGTCATATAAGGAGATAATTTCTTAGCTTTTGGAGGAGGACAACACTGTGTCCTCAACATCAGCTAAGACCTTTCTTGGAACTCATGGAGATGACAAACATCATTTCTGAGCACTGTAATCTTCCCTGTTGGGAATAACTGCAATACCGGTGCTTAAAGTCATGGTAAGTGTATGGCACTGCTTGTAGAGGATATACAAGCCTAAAGACTGATCTGACTAGCTCTTCTGGTTTACTGATAGCTGGTTCTTATAGGTAGTGCCAAAGCTCTGTATGTAATAAGGGGACTGTTTCACTTGAAGGTTAGTTCCCCAGTCAGGGAATACAGTACACAGGCAGAAATAGAAGGAGCTTATAATAATTGGTGTTTGTATGAGAAGCAAAAAAGTAAATCTAAAATGCTCTGAAGTAAATAAGGAGCACATGAGTTTCAGATCCAGCTGGTGAGTTCCCAGGTTGCTTTGAAGCTTTTCCATTTTCTGAATGGGATGAGTAATTTATTTTTTTTTTTCCCCTCCAGAGTTGAAATATTTTGGATTCAGCAGCTGTTCTTCCTGCATAATATAACCTTCTCTTTTCTAGGACTAAAGATAGTTATCTTCACTGGAGGAAGACAAAATAAAGTTGATAATGATGTTCATATTGCCATTTCTCTCCATGGCATGAAGCAGAAACGTGACAGGGTTTTTTGGGTTTGTTTTTTTTTTGTTTTTTTTTCCCCACTCTTGCAGTACATCCCGTTTGAAGGAACACAAATTTATCCTGATCAGGATGAAGGAATAAAAAAACCCACAACAAACTGTTCTTCATGATGATAAATGTTGGACTTTCTGAGTTTCATCTATTACTCTACCAACTGTTAATTAGAAGTAAAAAAGAAGGAGGAAAAAAAAAAGGTAGTGACATATCACCTTATTAGTTTATATCTGCATTTAGAATAGGAGTTACAGTGCCACTATTCAACCTCATTTGATTATCCTGGCCTCCTGTCTGACTTCAGACCTAATCATTGCCCACTTAAAACAACCATCCATCAGTGGTGGTAGTGCTGTCTTATTAATGAGGAGCAGACACAAAATAATGATGCAGATGCTATTGATCTAGAGCTGTCTTTGCCAGGCTGACCACAAAACATTGCTGACTTCATATAGTGTGAAGACATTCTCCAGAATTTAGTTGGCTCTCCCTCTCTTGTAGAGGTCTCCCTTCATAGACAATATTTAAATTCCATAAATACAAAAAAAAAAAAAAAAAAAAAATTCATCATTTAGCAATCTTGAATAGTACGAGGGTGAAATTTGTCACACTATGCAAAGGTATCGGGCTATTTCTGCAAATCAGGAATGTAAGTTCCAGTATAGATGCCTTAGGGATCTGATCTCACCAGTGTGAAAATTGGCTGAAGTGTTTTATCTCCTGCTTCCTTTCACTTAACTTGACACTAATTAACAAGAGGACTTTTCCTTTTATGTCTTGGAAGCTTTATTTCTAA